GCTCTCGTGGATGTAAGAACGAAGGGAGAAAGGGTTGGAGGACGTAAGGGCCGCGGATTTAGGCTTCACCGGGCACACAGGAGCCGAGGTCGTCTAATCGTGTCCCTAGTCCTGATTTAGGACGGGATTTTAATTACGAAGGGTCAGTAAGTGCGGCTGTCCACTTGCCGTAAGTATTCCTCCCTTATTTATAGTTCATTAGCTCGGCTTTCGCGCAAAAGGCAGATTAACTTACGCCTAGTTACACAGTCATTCTCCGACGTGAAACAGAATTTCCTGGAAATTTATGAATTCCCGGAAATATCCCGCTAATGATATCCTCGGTATAACTGAAAAAAACACGCTGTTAGGGTCATTTTAATCACAGTTAACGAATGGCGGTCGAATTTAATTATTTAAAAGCATAAAAGTCCGTTGCTGCATTTTCCATTAAATAACCGCGCGTTCCTCCTCTCGTCAAATACATTATTTCGAAATTTCAAGCGACGTGCCGACAAAACCAACGTTTAATCTCCACCCCCGTTGCAGAGAATAAACGGTCGGATGACAGTTGTTCGTATTTCAGTTAAGAATAATCTGAAGTCAGGGTTGCTGAGACACGAGGGATGATTAATGAGATGGCGTTAAAGATTCATCGATTATCAATGGCCGAGCAGTCGAAGACACGGGGTGCGGTTCGTGCGGCCGACAACACGTTTTCTGAGAAACACGTTGCCGATAAGCGTGTCTTACGAAGCCCTTCCGGTGGCGCTGGAAGTGGCTCGTTTCCAGGCGATATCGTCGTCCCGATAAAAAGCGTCGAAAAAAAATGTTTCTGTTTTTCCCTTCCACCGTTAATCTGTTATCTCGCTCACTCCGCGGCGACCGCTGAGTCAATCTCTTTGTCCGCTGGGAATTCACCAACCCCCGGTTTCAAGGGAAAATAGCATGCGGACACACATTCGTTGCAAACGACCACCGACCCCGCAACCATGCTGCTTATAAAAAAATGAAACGGGGATTAACAAGTCGTTCGCGTTTGTTTAAAGAAACCTTCGGCAACAGAAAATCAATACTTCTGTCAATCCACCGCTCCAGCATCCATTTTGAAAAATCGTTCGATGTTTCGCTATGAATCGTTCGAATAATTTATCGATAAACTCTGACAAACACTGACAATATGATTCCCTATTTTATCTAGATTTTCCAATAATTAACGCCTTGCTATACCATATCGTGTCAGAATCGTGAAAAAGATCTCAAACAGGAGTTGAAAGAATGGATGTTACCCGATTCTTTCGTAAATTATCAATGACAAAATAATCCCAGCAAGGTTTACGAGAGGAACAATAGAACAGGGGGTGAAAGCTGTACTGAATAATTATTTTTCTAGAAGAGGGTGGGTGGGGTCGAACAGGAAGACGAAATAAGACGACCGTAGAGGTAAAAGGCGGTCAGTATTCCGGCTCGATTTCCGTAAACACACGTGACGATCGCGATAGATCTCCCAGGCGTCTTTCGCGTAAGTAATTGCGGTTTCACGACACGCCACGCGGCCCCGATTTTTGCGGTAGATCGGCGTGAATCGGCAAAACCGATCTGCCGGTTAAACCGGCGGCGCAGCGGCGCACAGATAAGAAAACGCCGGACGAAATCGGCCACGGGTCGGGGCGCAGCTCACTTCCGAGGGGTTAATTACATTCTTGCGAGTCCGCACGAACGAGTGAAACCGCATCTGCTTCCTCGATTGCACTTTAGCAGACCGCAGTGCAATAAACGGTAGCGTTGCGGCGAAACACACCGCCGGGGAGACCTTTAGAAGCGCCTCACAATACTTTTCCGAGTAACGTTCTGGGAAAAAGTCTTACCTTACGCGGGACACCAGCACTGATTCGAGGAAGTCGTCGCTTCCAGTGTTCCGAGGTCCCGGTAGAATTGGCAGGACGATCTTCCGTGGTCTTTTGTCATCTTTTCACGATGAAGTCGTTTGACTGCTGGCAGGGTGGTTTCTACAAGAATGGGAGAAGGGGTGAATGTTCTCTGGTTTCGGTAAATGGAGTAAGTGCGAGGTGATTGGATGTAGTGGTAGAAATGGATGTAGAGGTTTGTACACTTGGCTTGTTTGACTCTTTACACACGCAAAGAATAGTGTGAACTGCCTTTGAGACTTTGATAATAGAAGTGGCAATCAAAAGAGAGTTTAAGGAAATGTTATTGTAAAAAATAAATCTAGGGAACTGAGTTAAATTATATTGTATCTACAAATTCTGTAAGTGGTCCATATTGAAGACACGTAAAAACTCGAAATCAACCCCTTAAAAAGTAGATGCCAACGTGTTATCTTAACTTTAATAATTTACTCCAAAATCATCATCTGACAAGATGACTTATTTCCTGTCTTACTTGCTGGCACTATATTTTCCAAAATAAAAGCTGCGGAAGCGAATCGAAGATTTCTATTCGCCCCCTCTTTTAATGATCATCGTCAATCCTTCAAATCATTTTGAAGTTCTTTAGAGGAGATTGATCGTCAGGGAAAGATGCAAATAAAGTTGCACGGAGATTACATCTTGCAATGGCTATCCTGACCAGGTTGTATCGAGCTCCCTACCTCGTGGAGGCTCAGTTGGTGGGGGGTCGCAGAACAAAGTTCAAAAGAGAGGAAAAGAGGCCGCAAGGGAGAGAAGGAGGAGGTCGAAGGTGGCGGTGGCACGAAGGAACAAAATCGCGGGGGTGGGGCGAACGATGCACGATGCGGGAGAGCCCCACCCCCCCACCTGCTCCCCCAATCACAAGCTCCGCCTCCAGAAACCCGCGTGACGTCACACGGACACTTGTTACGCCTTGCTGGAACACTGGATTGCCTATGCTACTTGGATCTCTCCGTGGTGGAAAAGTCAACCCTTCCGCTCCCTTTGCCGACCATCAACCGAACCCTTCCAACCCTTAATTTCCTCAATCCACCCGAAGCAAACCCTTAATTCGCTTTCTTTCGATGATTCAATTCCTGAACTGCTTCAAACGACACTGATACGCAAGTTCTGCATGCATCAGAAATTTTAAGATACTCCGAAGAATTAATTGAACCAACGAACAGTATAGCATAAGTAATCAAAAGGTAGTCGAATTGAACGACGAGCAGTAATGCTTGAATGAAATTAACGTGGCGAGTGTTCAATAATATTGAATTTCAAATTACTGGATTATACAGTTAGAGTCGGCGAGTTTGATCCTTGAATCGGTTCAGGAGTGTAGAAATTATTTACAGGAAAAATACGTAAAAAAATTGATATCGAGATTGAGAAAAAGCTGGCATGGAAGGAATTGAAGAATTATTTCGAAGTCGAGCCGATTATGGTATCGCGGGTACCGAAAGATTGGCCCGCCTTGGGAAATAACACGATAACGCTGGGGAATTTCGACGTTACTGCTTCCTCCTTATCGGTGCAACAACTAGCCGAAAGATTATGCGGTGAAACGTCTAATTGCCGTGAATTAATTCCCGCCGTTCCTTTCGCGCGGCTGTAAAGGCCGATTGTGCATGCATTCTGTGCGCAGATTAAAATCGACGGGAGAATGGATCTGGTTTTTATTCGTCGCGCAAGACAGCTCGTTTACATATATGCGAATGAATTCGCGGATAGGAAGCGGTTCGTTGTATTCTACGATGACACACAGGAATTTCCGCAGTCGGCGATTATTATAACGAGGCACATTATGTTCGCGTACCTTTCACGGCTGCACAGTTGGCCTTCGGAGGATTTTTTCCTCGGCGCGACGTGTTAAATTATCCTTAGAGCAACTATGCGCTTAATAACGCGTTTGCGATAGGGAAAAAACGCGACAAACAACTGTTTAATCGAAAATAGTTCCAATCATCCGCTGAACAACCTATGAATATTGATTCATAGTCTCTTACTAATTAAATCTAATCAAATAACCACATATCTCCACACATTCTGCGACAGTAAGCACATTCAACGTACCACAGAAACGAAACTTTCCCGCGCGAAATTCGAAAATTCAAACAACTATTGAAACTTCGGTAATCGATAATACATCGATCCCGAAAGTGCGGGAAAGCTGCGCAACTTTAGAAAGCGCAAAACTATCCTGTCTATACTAATCAACTTTATTTATCGCATGTTAATGTATAATCCTTACCTATTCATTACACTAATCTAACGATGTCCTTAATTACCTAGTGAACAATACTTAAACACGGAACAATCAATCGGCTACGCTTGTTAATCTATTAGTTCCAATGGTCCCCACCCGGGGACCGCATATTCAACGGCCCCAGTTCCCGCGTCTTAACCTCGCATTTTTAAGGTTATAGTCCGCCCCGAACACGTTCATTCCCACGTGTCAAAATGATATATACATTTAATCTAACACGTTCCGTGCCACGGAAATCTCAATTATATTCTGCTTACAAACTGTATTGATTTCTTAAATAAAATATTAACTTATATTCAATGTTTCGGCTACTTTTATACATTCTGTCACGTGTCCCTTAACACTAGAACTACCAGAGTAACTACTAACCAACGCCTTAATAATTATTAAAAGCAATATATAATTCTCTAAGAAATTACTACAGAAATTCCCTCAGCAATACTCAAACTGAATTATAAATCAACAGAAATCTCATTAGTACTACTGTGTAGTTCCCATAGAAAAATTTGAAAAAGTCAGTTTGACTCTTCCGTGGTTCTAGCGTTAATCTTTTCTAGAAAATTCGCGTGTACCATATGTGGTGCATCTGGCACTGAACGTGTTGAATGTGTTCCGAGAACCGTAGAATCGCGAACGCATCCATGGGAACACCGGGCGGTTTATAGGTTAATGAGACAACGTGGAGAAAGAAACATACCGAAACGGCGAAGGACATCGGCCACGAAACGAGTCCAGGACCTGGAGGGCGGGCGGTCCGCCGCCAGTGGGGATGTGGGAGCGTCGGGACGCGGCGGGAGTAAACGCCGGCGACGGTGGGGAGCTTCGGGATTGCGAGGCTTAGCCTGTCCCGGGCCGCTTACGCGGAACACGCGGCCCGAAGCCGCGCCGCCGGCATTACGTCGCGCACCGTCGACCGCGGCTGACGTTCGCGTCGGACGTTCTTCGATCGACTTCCGCTCGACTTGACACCGCGCCGACACGCTGGATACACGGGCCGATCGTTGTCCCCACGCGGGAACGGGTTATCCGATACGCACGACGGTCCTCGGTCCGTCATCTGCAAAGCCAGTGAAGAGAAGACAGAAAGCCAGTGTTACCTTTCAAAGCTGAAACGAAGAACGGCAGACGTACAACCGAAAACGGGGAAAGAGGCCAACAACCTGTAGGATCGTTTCCGCCGCGCGGACACTCGACGAGCGTGTGTTACCGATCACAGTGACGACTTCGACAGTTCCGGAACCGTTGGGGGTCACGTGTCCGACCAGTGACACCTTGCGGTCCGAGAGCGAGTTAGAGGAGATCAGGTTAGGAACTGCGAGCGAGTCTCTCGTTCTACTCTCGATTTGAACCGTGTTCCTGTAGACAGTGAAATGTAGAGATATCGGTTTGAACGTTATGAAGCTGAAAGGAGCAGGGACGACGTGATTGTTGAATAGTTTACAACGAGACTATGAGATGAAGTTATCGGTAAGTAACGAGATCGACCGTCGGATCGAGGGGCACCGGTAGCTCCGCGGAACCGGAAACTGCTCGTGAAACGGGACGGGAGTTAAAGGACTCCTTTTGAGGAGGGTAGTGAAGCCACGACGTCCTGCCTGGGGGGTGCGTGTTTGGGCGACGAGGGGCGGCTACTGGCCGATGGGATGCATCTACCGGTGGGTTCCGTGGGCTGCGGGGAGAATTACGCCACCGTTGGATCCCACGAAGGCGCCGGCCCCTGTGGCCCCCCACTGGCGCCGCTCCAGGGGGTGAACACCAGGTATCAGCAGGCCGAGGACGCCGACGCTGGGGGCGGCGGTGGCGAGATGAGCGAGGGTGCCGCCGTCGGCGAGCTCTGGTGGACCGAGAGGCTCGTCGGCGAGGCACAGGCTGAACATCCTGGGGAACTGGTTCGAACAGGTTAGTAGTCTTTTGGTTCTCCAGTTGCTGTATGTTTCTTCTTTGTAATATTCGTTATTGTTCTTGTTTATAATCATGCTTCTTCATTGATGAAGGTTATTAAACTGGGGATTGTGAAAATAACATGGATTACTCTTTTGTAGATCATTGTTTTGGAGTAGCATTGTGGAATTGATAGGTTGGTAGATGGAGGTACTCTGCGGTAAAGTTCGTTGGGGATTTGTATTTTGTTCCTGTTTTGGGGAATCGAGATGATTGTATTGTAATTAGTAGTTTATAGGGTATTATGTTTGATATAGAACTGTGTTGTTAATTGGGGTATAAAGACACGAGAAAGTTAAGATTCTTGGGAACTTCTTTTATTAATTATGAAAGAAAGGATTGTCTAGGTTTGAGGTTTATATGTCCAAATGCTTCTTGCTTAAGTTTGTAAGATTACTGAATGTTTAATAAGAATTCTTGATTGAACTTCTGAGACTTGACTCTTCTGAAGCAATGTGGTTTCGTTCGATGGCTAAAGTAGAAATTGTTTCTTCTCCGTTTCCAGGATCACCGTATTTTCTCTGCAGCCAACTGCCGACTCACTGGCGGTCCAACAAGACCCTCCCGGTGGCATTCAAAGTTGTCGCCCTAGGCGAGGTCGGCGATGGAACCCTAGTGACAGTGCGAGCGGGTAATGACGAGAACTGTTGCGCGGAGCTGAGGAATTCCACCGCCTTGATGAAGAACCAAGTCGCAAAGTTCAACGACCTCAGGTTCGTCGGGAGGAGCGGCAGGGGTGAGTTTCTTAAACAATTTTTAATACTACCGCCTAGGACACTCCATCTTGCGTCATTGAACCGTGTAAATTAACAAACGTGAAATTTGTAACATTTTAACTTCTCTTTTTCCGCAATCGTATTGTATAAGTTTCGAATGTAACTTGTAAGGGATGATTTACTGTATGAAATAGTATCTTCGGTATAGAAAAATATTATCCATGCAGATGATTTGCACGGAAAAAGATATTGGTATCGAACGTGATGTTCGTATTTCTCTCTGTGTTTTCCCAAAAATCAGTGGCTTAACGAGTTCGCTCAAGTTCCGAGATGAGCAATTAGCAAGCTCCAATTAGGGTAGCTGCAGTTGCCGTTCTTCAAAGCTAGTTTGCTTTGTAAGTCGCTCAAAAAGCAGTCAGTAAATTGCGCGGCAGGGGCATGTGCCGTGATTTCGAACCCTCTAAAAGCACGGTTATTGTAATCATCATCGTCATCAACTGGCCTGAACACCCCTCGAACCGCCTCGCTTTTCAACCCTCCGCGTCCGCGAGTTCTCTCGCTCCCGCCGCCCCCAGAGTCATTACTCGATGTCCGCCGGTAGCCCCGACCTAGCATCCGAAACAACTGGCCGTTAATCAGAAATCATCGTCCGTCGGCTAGGGAGAGAAAGCGAGACAGAGAGGCTAAGTTCCCAAAATCATGGGGATCCGGTCGATGCTCGTGACTCGTTTAATTTCTCGCCGATAAAACGGCCCTATTCACGACAATTCCCATTGCGTCTTATTCTCGATAAATCGAAACCGTCAAGCATCCTAGAAAATTCTTTACACCATAACAAATAATCCGGATTCCATTGCCGCGCGTAAACAGGAACGCGAAATGTATGATCAGTAATTAATTCCATAGAAGTTTTATTAAAATCGCCGTGAAAACGGGGCTCTTTGAAGAGTAAATCAGATCCCATTACCGTAAAATCGAATCATCGACCACAATGGGAATGAAAAACGAGTCCAGAAGCACCCAGCGTTTAATAAATGATGCCCCGGCGGCGCGGCACAGGCGTGCGCGCTCATGGCGGTTTTTTAAATAATCCGTTTTCGGCGCGGGGATTAAGTCCGTCCCGGATTTCAGGGTTTTCGATCGTCGAACGATCATCCGCCGGCCTGGTTGCCCTGTTCTGCTCTTACAAATGGATTTCCCGACTCCTCTCCCCCGGTTCTATGCACCGGAGGATGCATTTATGAATTAACGAGGCGGGCTGATCGCGCGCGAGCCATGCTCGGATAGCATCATCTATGTTTCATTTGATTTCATCATGAAGTGCAGGGTCAGCGAGTTACCATCCTCCTGACACCGGACACGCTAACCCCGGGGAATCAATTAGCGAAAGAGACACGTCCCACGCCGAAATCCTTCGATCCCTTTGTCCAGTTTTTCGGCATTTTTTTGGCTCTATCTCTCCTCGATAATCCGTAATACTCAATTTCGACGATTGACCAAACCGACCCCCTCTCCTCCCGCTCACCTGCCCGCACCACCGGCGATCCACGGTCCGTACCGGCCGCGACCGACTGTGCTACCCTCCTATCATCGAGGTTTTGTTTCCGCGACTTATTAATTTGATTGAATCCTGTCACGGAACGTCGATCCCCGATATCCACCATCCCAAGGAATTCAAGTGGATAATTCTTCGATATCAAGTGGGCGCTGTCCTGGATTCGAAGACACTTTTATCAGAGGAAACATTCTAAATAATATTCGCCGCGGAAGAATACCGACAGTCGAATGTAAAAATTAGATCACTTATCAAACGTCTTACCGCGAACGACCGCGACATCTGTCAACAAGGAAATACATCAACAACCAAAACCTAAGGGCAATAACCCAACAGTCGATGTCTGAAAAACTAAAGGCAACACCGTTCGACGACAATGATAACCGCGAGCAAACGATCTACCATTCGAAAATAAAAAAAACATTCCAAACAGTGTGTCGAACCGGGTCATCGGAGGGCAACGACGAAACGATCCCCAAGAATGTCGATGAATTGAAGTCTCGGCGGTCGAGGCGGCTGAATCCTCGCAATTATCACCTTCCCTGGAAGGTGCACCA